GGGGGTGGTGGTGAGGGGAGGAGGGGATATAGTGAAGGTAGTGAAACCAAACCACCCCTCCAAGCTGCTCCCCACCTTGACTTGGAAATATATTGCTGTTTTTTCACTGTCAAAATCCTGGAATTCCCTCCCTAAGGGCATTGTGGGTCAACCCACACAGGAGGACTGCAGCAGTTGAAGGCAGCAACTCACCACCACCTTCTCAAGGGCAACTAGGGATGGGCAATAAATGCTGCCTAGCAGCAACGCCCTCATCCAGTGAATGAATAAAGGATACCAAATGTCTTCTTAACTATCCTATCTACCTGTGACTCTACTTTCAAGGAACTTTGAACCTGCACTCCAAGGTCTCTTTGTTCAGCAACACTCTCAAGACATTACCATGAAATGCATAAGTCCTCGATCTCCCCCAAAAACAGCACAGCATGTTCACTCAGATCAAGGGCAATTAAGGATGGAAAACAAACGCTGACTTCATCCGTAAAAACCTAAAGAACTGCGGATGCTGTAAATCAGGAACAAAAACAGAAGTTGCTGGTAAAGCTCAGCAGGTCTGGCAGCATCTGTGAAGAAAAAAAAGAATTAACATTTCGGGTCTGGTGACCCTTCCTCAGAACAGAGTTCCAGACCTGATGAAGGGTCTAGGCCCGAAACGTCAGCCTCTCTGCTCCTATGATGCTGCTTGGCCTGCTGTGTTCATCCAGCCCTGCACCTTGTTCCAGACCCAAAATGTTCACTGTTTTTTTCTTCACAGATGCTGCTAGACATGCTGAGCTTTTCCATCAACTTCTGCTTTTGCTCCTGACTTTATCCATAATGTCCACATTGCATCAAGGAATTAGTATAGCACTTTTAAGGTAATCAAACATCCCACCACCCCTGCAGAACGATAAGGGATAGGAAGAGGGGGTGATGGTATAGTCTGTCGGCCCCAATATGACCATGGCTGATCCTGGGTTTCAACTCTATCTTCGGTTCAATCTCTATACCCCTCAATTCCCTGAGCAAACTGGAATCTGTCCTTTGTTATTGCGATGACAGAGGAACCCCAAAGGAGTTACGGACATTTTAAATTTGTTGCAGGCAAAGGACTCTCTCGCTCTGAAAGTTCAAAGCTCATGAGCCCACAAGCCAGGCAAGACAGGGACCTCCTCGCTCTGAGTGCTGCCTGCTAGCCACAGGCAAAAAGAATCAGGACAAAAAGATTCCAACCAACCTGGAGAGCCAAGAATTTCAAAACCCACTGCTCAACTAAAAATTTTCCACTATCTATGACTTATGAATGAGCTAAACATTGACCTGTACATTTTAAAATTATCTTTTTTTAAAACTTATCATTTTGTGCGCGTGTGGAGTGTTACTACTTCTTGCATTTTGTCACTAATAAACACTATTTTGATAACCAAAGAGAGCCTGATGAAACTGCTTCCTTTAAATCTTAAATTGTTTTGATCTGGGATTAAAGTATCTGCAAGGGAAGGGATTCTTTTAAAATTAAACTTGTCACAACCAAACCAGAGGGTGAGTTAAAAAAGAAGGGAAGCTGATTCCTCCCTCCTCAAACAGAATCCCACTGAACACTGCAACAAATTGGGGAATCTCACCTGTGCTTTTAACAGAGACAGTCCAATCTAGTGAACCTTTGCCTCCAATGCAACTATCCTTAAATACAAAGATTAAAGGTGAATGCAGTTTTCCAGACGTTTGATTTAGTCTAGTATAGCTACAGGAAGAGCTCTTTATTTCCCTAATCCAATTCCCTGGCCCCAAAAGCCCACAGGCTGTTTGTCTTTCTCATTGCTCACTGTTGCTGCACACTGTAGCTGTGTTCCTTGTACAAAATATCCCAATCCCTCTGAACAGTAACAAGATTCACAACTTTTCAAAAAAAAAAAAAAACCTGCTTTCTTCTCCCCCCATTCCCATGACCAAAAGTGATAACTGTACACTTGTCGACACACCATACGCCATCTGCCATCTTGCTGCCCACGCACTTAACCTGTCTATATGTCCCAGCAACCATCCTGTGCCCTCCTCAGACATCTGGATGGGCCTTTTTAATGTTAATGTTGATCGCTCTCTCTGCACTTTCTTGGCAGTTCTAATATTGTATCCTACACTCTGTTCTGTTACCCTGATGCACTATGATGTACGATCGGCCTGTAAAGCACGCAAGACAACACTTCACTGCACCTCGGTACACGTGACGTTAATAAATCAAAAGCTTTGTACTGACAGGAAACGTAGGTACATTATTCTCTTTATGTCTAAACCAGTTGTATCGATGTTTAATAGGTGAGGGTCCAGAACTGAGGCTTGAGAAATTTCACTTGGCTCAGCTCGCCAAATTGAAAATAACCACTTATCCTGACCGTTTCCTTATCGTTCAATAACCAACCTTCCTCTCATATTACCCCCCAAACTCCATGAGTCTTTTACCTTGAGCATTAACCATTTGTGAAGCATGTTATTTGAATGCTCTTTTGGAAATTTAGGTGTATTACAGCAACTGGTTCCACTTTATCTACCCTTGTCACATCTGAGGCGGGAGGTGATGGCCTTGTGCATTATCGCTGGACTTTTAATCCAGAGACCCAGGTAACGTTCTGGGGCCCTGGGTTCGAATCCTGCCACAGCAGATGGTGCAATTTGAATTCAATCAAGAACAAAGAAAGAAAAACAAAAATCTGGAATAAAGGATCTGATGATGACCATGAATCCATTGCTGACTGTTGGAAAAACCCACCTGGTTCACTAATGTCTTTTAGCAAAGGAAACTGCCATCCTTACCTGGTCTGGCCTACATGTTACTCCAGACCCACAGCAATGTGGTTGACTTTTAACAGCCCTCTGGGCAATTAGGGATGGGCAACCAAAGCTGACCTAGCCAGCGATGCCCTCATTCCATGATGAATAAATAAAATGTCAATGAACTTGTAATACAGGATTTCTCTTTTTGTTAAACCAGGTCGACTTGTTCTACACCTCCCGATTCCCCAAAGCCTGTCTACTATCTACAAGGCACAAGTCAGGAGTGTGATGGAATACTCCCAACTTGCCTGGATGAGTACAGCTCCAACAGTAGTCAAGAAGCTTGACACCATCCAGGACAAAACAGCCCACTTGACTGGCACTACATCCACAAGCATCCAATCCTGCCACCACCAATGCTCAGTAGCAGCAGTGTGTACTATCTACAAGATGCACTGCAGAAATTCACCAGAGATCCTCAGACAGCACCTTCCAAACCCACGACCACTTCCATCTAGAAGGCCAAGGGCAACAGATATACGGGAACACCACCATCTTCAAGTTCCCCTCCAAGCTACTCACTATCCTGACTTGGAAATATATCGCTGTTCCTTCATTGTCGCTGGGTCAAAATCCTGGAATTCCCTCCCTAATGGCATTGTGGGTCAACCCCACAGCAGGTGGACTGCAGCAGTTCAAGAAGGCACCGCACCACACCATCTCAAGGGCAGCTAGGGACGGACAATAAATGCTGGCCAGCCAGCAACACTCACATCCCATGAACAGGTTAAAAAGAAACAGGTTTCTTCTTTGGGAGGGGTGAATAACTCACCACAACCTGTCAATGAAAACGTTCTAAACTGATAGCTGAGACAGTTACAAGTTAATCATTCTGACTGAAAGACAATGAATGGGATCTGTGCTTTCGTGCTGGACTAACCCAACTCCTTTGGGAAGGATGAAGCAGCAGTTTAGGGATAGCAACCAGCTTACATTTTCATCTGCATAAGACCCTAAAACACGCCGTTTCAGAACAAAACTCCGCACAAGGCCTCCTAAGGACACCACTCAGCAAATTAGTTTCCCCCTCCAGAAAGAGAAAGATTTCCAGAAATCAACCACAGTTCTACCGAAAAAGTCCTGGCAATCTGCAAGTACATCACCACAGAATTACTACAGATTGATAAATCTTTTCGTTTCTACCACCTCCCCATAAGTCCAGCTCTACCTACCAAGGTAGGGTACTAACAACTGCCATCTATTCAACTACGGAAGCTATTGCAGCTGCTGAGTTCTGACTTTAAGTCTTCAAACCCCCTTAACCTTCAGAAAGAGCATCTACAACAAACCTGCAGCATTAATCCAACTTTCATTTTTGCAAGTACCTTTTACCCGTGCCTACTTTTAATCCTTGTGCCTGTACTGCATACAATAAATGCATCACACTTTCTAGTCTGGTCTGTGGCATTCACCAATAGTTGAGTTTGATGTTGTTGAAAACTGAAGTTTTACCAGTTATTTTTTTGAATTGTTTTGAGTTAAAGTTAAAAGTTGAGCTCAGGTGAATGACACAAATTCCCAGCTCCCGGGCCACACTGCAGATGTGCCTGGTCGCTAATCCAAGTCTGACAGTACGTCCTACCTGTGCCCTACAATAGGCTCTGCTGTCCCTCCAAGGATACCATAGTCCATCCCGTAGAAATTCAGCCCCAAGAGGATCTTATTTCTCCAAACCGCATCCGGGTCCAATTTCTGAACACAGGCTTGTATCCAGGGGAGTGGGGAGTTGGGACCAGGTCTAGAAAACAAGGAACAGCCAGCATTTGACACATGTTCACAGCAATCAACCTTCACACTAAACTGGAACCTTTCCCAAAACCACACCCACAGCAACACAGGCAGCCCCAGCATGAAGTCTGAAAGAACAGGCTGCCTTGTTGGAGGGGCTCAAAGCAATAGTCAATAACAGTTCAACAATTTTAAAACTAGACCACGCTTTACCAAGGTGAAGGCACCCATGCTGCTAAATGGAACGCTTTATTTGAGCCCATCCAGTGTCTGGGCCAAGCAATCCAAGATTGAGGGCAGTACAGGGAGAGGCAGAGGGTCTAATGAGCTATCAGGCAGATCCCATGCAGACTCCTCATGGAACTGAACTGAAACTGCAGCTCTCTCATTTACTACACCGACTACCATTGCGATTAGAGCTTTATTAACAACCAGATTCCGGTTTGTGGGTCCGGGACCCTGAGGATTTATGGTTAACTTGTGTGGCTAGGTGGTCTAAGATGGTGGGCTGAACGTCGCATTTTTAGGAAGGTGTTGCATGAAATCCAACTGCTGGGGTCTTTTACAATAATTTAGATCAATGATCTCATTGAATGGCAGAGCAGATCTCAATGGGCTGAGTGGCCTACTTCAGCTCTGCCATCTTGTGACTGCTCCAGACAGGACGGGCTGTGCTGGAGTCCCGATCCAGAATCACGCTCCAGACAGGACGGGCTGTGCTGGAATCCCATTCTGGGACAGGACGGGCCGTGTTGGATTCCCATTCCTGATGGGCTTTTGGAAAGAGGTATGGAGATTGTCTGGAGTAGGCAAAGAACCTGAAGTCTGTAGACTGTCAGGACAGGATGGTGTGAAATATTTGGAAAAGGTCATGGACAGGAAATCTTGTGTTGCCTCGTTAAAAAAGACTCGAGAAATGTTCCCCTGGAACGAACGATAGGTGGGGCACTTACTCGGCTAACCAAACAAAAAAAAGACGGCGGGCGATGCTCCTGCTGGAATGGGGCTCGTGGTTCAAGGTTGCAGACCCATTGCAGTCTACCACACAGATTCAGGTTTACACATTGCAAATCCCCGTCCTTGATTGGACATAGCTTACCGATGTTGATTCGAAAAGTCATACGTCATCAGACTGAATGCATCCACAACCTGGGCCAGCTGCTCGAAATCCTGCTTCCCAAACATTCCTGGCTGGTTGGTCCTGGAAACAGGGAGAAGGCACACAGTCCTCAATGTCAAACGGCAACGCTGTGAATACCCAGCACCTGCAGCAACTTCCCAGGAGATCCCAGTTCGGAGAGTTCACCCAGCACCTGCAGCAACTTCCCAGGAGATCCCAGGCCGGAGAGTTCACCCTGTCACCACCCACCCTCTTCACCTCCCACCACCACCGCCACCCGCCAACGCCCCCACCCAGCCCCACCTCCCCAGGACAGCTTGCTCTGTATCTAGCCCTTCTTCCCATACCCAAAGCAAACAGCTCACTTTGCATTCAGCGAATCCAACCTCCACCCCCTGCCCCACTCCACTTCCCAGTGCGTATAGGCTCAGCCTGTTCAATGTTTCCCCTCAAACAGGGCTCCTTCATCCCAGGAATTATTTGAGTGAACCTTCTCTAGACTGCAAGTAAATCCCCCTTCAATATGGACCCCTAAACTGCACACAACACTTTAGAATATGGTTTCACTAATTGTCTGTCCAAACTTCCCCTTTTTTAGTATTCCATCCCCCTTGCAATGAATACACCATTTCATTTGTCTTTCTAATGATTAACTACTTGCTGCCTTTCCAAGACTACCCCCCACCCCCAAAAAAAACCCCGTACATGGCCAGCAGTGTGGAATTTGTGCATGATGGTTCGTGATAGAGTGCCTGGAACTGTGTTGCATGAGCACCTCCACGTCGGCCCTGGACAACAACTGCCTTTGGGAAATCTAAATATACCATCTGGACTGTTTACCCTTTGTCCACCCTTTCTATTGCATACTCAAAGAACTCAAATAGGAAATCCCTCTGGCTTTCTAGATTGTCCCGCTACCACCTCCAGAATAATCGACTTCAGTCTTTTACCTTCTGAAAACCTTAGGCTAACTACCCAACAGGTTCCTGCGTCCTTCCTTTCTTCAATAGAATTTTTCCAACCGGCCAGAACTTTGCCAGAATCCAGGGAATTTTGGAAGATTGCAACCAACTAGGCTCAGTACTGAAATCAGGATATCTGCTCTGGTCCTGCACACCCTCTGAAACATCACATCTCCAGTCACTCTCTCACTAAAGACAGCCCCTCCAGTAACTTGACTAGTGCACGCTTGTACATCTACGTAACCCGACACCGCCAGGAACATCCTTTCTGAGCTCACACTTGTCCAGTTGCATTGTCATAGCCGCCGTTTGCTTGGAATCGGGGTGCAATGGAAAGAGGACACAGACTTTCTCTACCTGATGCTGGAGGTGGTCAGATAAGAACTGCCAATTTCACGGGCAGTTCGGCAGATCTTCCGATGGTGACGAACACTAACATTTTGGTGATTACAGTTGAATTTTTTTTTAAAAAAAAAAATCAGCCTCAGGAACATCAGTCTCATTTTCTGAAGAAGGGTCAGCTTTCCTGCTCGGCCGGTGTTCATCCAGCTCTACACCTGGTTATCTCAGATTCTCCAGCATCTGCGTTCCTACTATCTCTGGCCTCAGGAACATATTTGTTGTTCTCTGCAGAGCGTTAAGGACAATGTATATTTTTAAGCTGAATTTATGTTGAAGGTGTTAAAAGGAGGAGGGACGGTTTAATTTCACTTCAGAGTGGTAGCAGGAAGTCTGAATGTCTGCTTCATTTATATGCATTTTAATGAGGTTTTATTAACTTGTGGGGAGGAGCTGGGGATGAGTAATTCTGTGCTTTTATTAAAGAAAGAAAACGAGTGGAACTAAAACATGAGCTGCTACACAATGTGAAGGGTTGAGTGATATAAAGAGAGAGACACAGCAATCTAGGGACTGAGTCAGACTGTGTCCATAGATGCAAGGCAGTGGCAATTAGGAAGCTGACATTTAGTTTACTCAAGTACTGGCTTAAAGTCAGAGTGACTTCAGTTTGGAGTTTGTTTTCAGTGTCTTGGGGAGGGATAGCCTCTGGTGAGAGTGTAGAAATTCGGCAAAAGTTTCAGCTTTGCCAGGCTGAATCAGGGCATGGACCTTAAATGTGGGGAAAGTGGTAACTCTTTGCTGAGATTTGGCGTTAGTAAAGACCCTTATTCAAACAGGGAAGGGAGCAGAAAGTTTAATACACGGCACTACGAATCTATTAAGGATATAATAACAGGACATTTGAAAAGTCAAAATGCAATCTATCAGAGTCAGCATGGTTTTTATGAAGGTAAATCATGTTTTGAGTAATTTGCTAGAGTTCTTTGAAGATATAAGCAGCAACATAGATAATGGGGATCCTGGACTTCCAGAAGGCACTTGATAAGGTGCTGCATGAAAGTTTAATGACAAAGTAAGATCACACGGGGTTAGCGGTAATTTATTAGCTTGGCCAAAGGGTTGGCTTGCCAACAGAAAGCAGGAAGTTAGAATAAATGGGTTTTTTTCTGGTTGGCAAGTTGTAGCTAGTAGGGTGACACAGGGTTCGGTCTCAGGCCCTAACTATTTCCAATCGACATTAATGACTTGAATGCAGGGATAGAAAGTACCGCAGTCAAATAGGTGGGACTGTAAATTGCAATGAAGAAATTGATACAGCTAGATTAGGTCAATACGTCAAAATCTGGCAGATAGAGTTTAATGTGGCTAAGTGCGAGGTTATCCATTTTTGCTGGAGAGTTAGAGAGGCAACTTATAATCTAAACGGAAAGAAACTTCAGAGTGCTTCAGTGTAGAAGGATCTGAGTGTTCTTGTTCTATTCCTTAATGGGATGAGGGCATCGCTGGCTAGGCAGCATTTATTGCCCATCCCTAATTGCCCAGAGGGCAGTTAAAAGCCAACCATATTGCTGTTGGTCTAGTCACATATAGGCCAGACCAGGTAAGGATGGCAGTTTCCTTCCCAAAGGATAATAGGGAAGGCAAAAGGAACATTGATATTTATTGCTAAAAGGAAATGGTCCAAAAGTAGGGAAGTGTTGTTGCATTAGTGAGACAAGGCATTAGTCAGACTGTATCTGGGGCACTGTGTACAATTCTGGTCCCTTTAGTTGAGGTGGTTTGTAGTAAGAGGCAGTTCAGAGGAGATTAATTCCAGAGATGAGGTGTTTGTCTTATGAGGACAGATTGGGAGTTTAGGCCTATACCATCTGGAATTTAGAAGAATGAGACGAGATCTAATTGAAGTATATAAGATGCTGAAGGGGATTGACAAAGTAGATGTAGAGGCTGTTTTCTCATGTGGGTCAATCTAGAATGAAAGGTCATAGCTTTAGGATAAGGGGTAGCTGATTTAAAACAGAGATGAGGAGGAATTACTTTTCACAAAGGGTCATGGAATCTGTGGAATTCCATCCCCTAGGGTGCAAGGGGATGCTGGACCACTGAGTAAATTTAAGGAGGAAATAGATTTTTAAATAGCAAAGGGTTTAATGGTTATGGGGAGCTGGCAGGAAAGTGGACTTGAGGCCATGATGGGATCAGCCATGACCGTAGTAAATAGCAGAGCAAGCTCGAGGGGCTGAATTAACTCCTCCTGCTCCTAGTTCAGATGCTAAAAAGAATAGTCTGGATTTGCAACCTTTGTTGCTGTCTGCATTGAAATCTTTGCAACCTTTTGTTTTGTCTCAAGTGATATTGTACATGTTTTTCTTGTTGAATAATCATTTCCATTTTCTGTTAAAAGTACACTGGCAGCCTCCTGTGACTGCTTTCAATGACCGCTCTCCACAATTGAAAAGGAACCAAGCTGGGATCTAATGTTTCTTTTCCAGGAGACCTAGCAATCAGCTACATTTCCTGGTGGAAAAGCATGTACGTTATCAAGCACAGCATCCAGTGCTTACCCTGGAGAGATGGCTGGGGGAATCACCAACACAATTTTCAGCTCGGCTTCCTGCATGGCATTGGCCAAGTGGCGGATCACATGGACAAGTTCCCTGTAAGACAAACACATCCCCATCAAGAGACAACACATCAGTTTGTCCCTGTCCTGTTCCCCAGAGCTGGCAAACGCACCATCTTACTGTACGGAGAAATAGTAAGAATTGCAGATGCTGGAGTCAAAGATAACACAGTGTGGAGCTGGAGGAACACAGCAGGCCAGGCAGCATCAGAGGAGCAGGAAAGTGGACGTTTAGCGAGAGATCCACTGAGGGCTTTCTGAAGAAGGGTCCCGACCCGAAATGTCAACTTTCCTGCTCCTCTGATGCTGCCTGGTCTGCTGTGTTCCTCCAGCTCCACACTGTTATCTCTTACCGTATGGACCAGGATTACAGACATTTTATTTCAGTAACAATTAGAAGGTAAGGTCATGGAAGTTTCAACTTCTTTCTAGTCACTGAGTGAAGAGAGTTTGAGATTGTGGAAACTGCTCCATTCACCGCTCCAAGTTCATCAGCAACTTTGTACTTCCACCACACAGACAGCAGCAGAACTACCTCAAAGAATACGAAGCACAGACACTTGTACTGCTCCTTTCACGTCACATCTCATGACAGAATCACTGAATTCACAAAGGCAATAGGACAGCGGTGAGTAAGAGCAAGGGGAATGTACATTTATATAGTGCCTTCCATAACCTCAGCATATCTCAATGTGCATCACAGATGATGAAGCATTTCTGAAGTGCATTTGCTAGCGTAATGCAGAAAACAATTTGTGAACAGCAAGCTCCCACAAACAGCAACATTGACAATTTGCTTATTTTCAGTGATTGAGAGACTACAACTAGCACAGACAAAAGGGAACTCCTCTTCCCAGTGGATGGCAGTAACATCACCAGAAACACCCAGTGCAGGAACCTGGGCAGGTTGCAGGACATAGAGTGGAGATGGGCAGCAGATAACTGGAGCGGCCAAAGTAAATCACTCAGATACAGTCATACAGCATGGACACAGACCCTTCGGTCCAACCAGTCCATGCCAGCCACGTTCCCCAACCAAACGAGTCCCATCTGCCTGCTCCTATATCCCTCCAGACTTTTTCTATTCATGTCTTTTAAACATTGTATCTGTACCCACATCTACCACTTCTTCTGGCAGTTCATTCCACACACAAACCACTTTGTGTAAAAAAAAAAGTTGCCCCTCATGTTCTTTTTAAATCTTTCTCGTCTCACCTTAAAACATGTCCCCAAGTTTTTAACTACCCTATCCTAAGGAAAAGACCTTGACTTTAGCCTTATCTGCTTAGACCTTAATGCAAAAGACCTTATCTGTACCTCTCATGGTTTTATAGACATCTATAAAGTTACCCCTCAACCTCCTAAGCTCCAGTAAAAGTAGTTCTGGCTTACCCAACCTCTCCTTACAACTCAAACCCTCCGTTCCTGGTAAATCTCGTGAACCCTCTCCGGTTTAATAATATCCTTCCTATAACAGGGCGACCAGAACAGGACACAGTACTCCAGAAGAGGCCTCACCAGACAGGGCATCTAGGCTTGAGAAACAGACAGCATTACTATATAGCGGCTAATGAACAGAAACTCTGACATTCTGAGGTGAGAAAGACAGCCCTTGTAATCAAGGCCACATTTGATCAGCTGTGACATCAATGAGCCCTCACAAAACTGAAATCAATGGGTATCAGGGGGCAAACTCTCTGCTGGTTAGAGTTAAACCTAACACATAGGAAGATGGTCGTGGTTGTTGGAGGTCAATCAGCTCAGCTCCAGGACATCTCTGCAGGAGTTCCTCAGGGCAGGTATCTTTAAACAAACTGTTCAACCTATTCTGCATTCTGTTCTATTACCCTGATGTCCTTATGTAAGGTATGATTTGTCTGGTTAGCATACAATAAAATATATCTCGGCATGTATGACAATAATAAATGAAATCAAATCACCAGAGATGTTATGCTACACCTCCGGAGCACATGGTACTTGAACCCAAGCCTCCTGGTTCAGAGGTAGGGACACTACTATTGCACCGTAAGATCTTGCTCCAAATTTTACACTCTTCCTGACTGGATCAAAACCCATGTCCTGAGAACATTTGTCTGGGTTTCTGGGGTACCTCAGGGTAGTGTCCTAGGCTCAACCATCTTCAACTGCTTCATCAATGACCTTCCCTCCATCATAAGGTCAGAAGTGGAAATGTTCGCTGATGATTGCACAATGTTCAGCACCATTAGTGACTCCTCAGAAGCAGTCCATGTTCACATGCAACAAGATCTAGACAATATCCAGGCTTGAATGACAAGTGGTAAGTGACATTTATGCCACACACATGCCAGACAATGACCATCTCCAATGACAGACAATCTAACCACTGCCCCTTGACATTCAATGGTGTTACTATCATTGAGTACCCCACTACCAAAATCTTGGGGAGTTTCATTGACTAGAAACTCAACTGGACTCGCCACATAAACACAGTGCCTACAAGAGCAAGTCTGAGGCTGGAAATTCTGTGATGAGTAACAACTCCTGACTCCCCAAAGCCTGTCCATCATCTACAAGGCAGGAGTCAGGAGTGTGATGGAATACTCCCCACTTGCCTGGATAGGGGCAGCTCCATCACCACCATCCCAGACAAAGCAACCACTTGTTTGGCACCACATCCATATTTAATCACTCCTTCACCTACATCCAATAACAGCAGCGTGTACTATCTGCAAGATGCACTGCCGAAATTCACCGAAGATTCTTAGACAGCACCTTTCCAACTCACCATCACTAATATTTCAAAGGGCAAGGGCCAACTGATACATGGGAACACCACCCCCTGCATGTATTCCAACCCACAGCAGGAGGACTAGAGCGGTTCAAGGCGGCAGCTCAGCACCACCTTCTCAAGGGCAACCTAGAGATTGAAAAGATAATTATAAGCAGCAAAAGCTTATTTGCATTCAATGATGAATCAGTACTAGGAGCCATAAATTTAGACCTTTTGCAAAACCCACAGCATAATGGAGTGCTTTCTTTCCCCCCGGAGAATATCATCCAATGCTCACATAGCAGCTATCCACTTCCATCCATCTCTCTGAGCACCGCCCATATTCTTTTTCGATCTTTTGATTCAAAAATCTTTGTATTAACATAGCGAAGCTGGGTAGAATAATCTCTCTCACAGAAATATGAAGTCAGTCAGTAAGGCCTTTGACAAGGTCCCACATAGGGGACTGACAAAGAAGGTAAAAGCTCATGGAACCAGGGGAGTTGGATTCAAAATTTGCTTAGTGACAGGAGACAGAGGGTGCTGGTAGAAGGCTGTTTGTGTGACTGGAGCCTGGTGTCCAGTGCTATATCACAGGGATCAGTGCTGGGCCCCTTATTGCTGGTGAGATATATACGAACAATATGGAAGAAAATGTGGGGGTAATGATAAGTTAGTTTGGAAATGAGATAAAATTCGGTCAGGTGGTTGACAGTGAGGAGGAAGGTGTTAGGTTAGCGGAGATCAAAAACAGATTGACCACACATGGGCAGATCCGCAGGAGATGGAATTTAATCCTGATAATTGTGAAGTGACGCACTTTGAAAGAAGGAATAAGACAAGGGAGTACTGAATGAATGGCAGGACACTAGGAAGCTGACAGGAACAGAGGGATATTGAGGTGCTTGTCCATAGATCACTGAAGGTGGCTGGACAGGTTAATGGGACAGTTAAGGCGGCGTATGGGACAGTTGCCTTTATCAGTTGAAGCATAGATTATAAGAGCAAGGAGGTCATGTTGGAGCTGTACAGAGCGTTGGTTAGGCTTCAGTTGGAGCGCTGTTTGTAGTTCTGGTCTCCACACTATCAGAAGAATGATTGCACTGGAGGGGGATGCAGAAGAGATTCACCAGGATGTTTCCTGGGATAGAGCATTTCGGCTATGAAGAGAGGTTGGATAAGCTAAGGTTGTTTTCTTTGGAGCAGAGAAGGTTAAAAGGGTAGTAGGAACTGCAGATGCTGGAGAATCTGAGATAAGTCTCGGCCTGAAACGTCAGCCTTCCTGTTCCTCTGATGCTGCTTGGCCTGCTGTGTTCATCCAGCTCTACACCTTGTTATCTACGATTAAAAGGGGACCTGATTGAAGTGTATAAGATTATGTGGGGCAAGGACAGGGTGTACAGAAAGCAGCTGTTCCCCTTAGTTGAAGGGTCAATAAAAGGGGCATAAGTTTAAAGTGAAAAGCCGGAGGTTTAGAAGGGATTTGAGGAAAAGCTTGATCACCCAGAGGGTGGGAATCTGGAATGCACTGGCTGGGAGGGTAGTTGAGGCAGGAAACCTCACAACCTTTAAAAGGGACTTGAAATGTCATAGCATTCAAAGCCGTAGGCCTAGTGTGGGAAAGTGGGGCTGGTGTAGGTCGTGTATTTTTGGCATTCAGGTTTGATGGGCCAAAGGGCCTCTTCAGTACTGGGTGATTCCGGGATTCTCAGTCACATCACAGCACGTACTAAAACTACATGAATCACAACACTCAGTGAAATCAGAAAAACGTACTGACAGGAAAATAGATGACCATCCATGGGAAGCCAGCACCAAGACTGTCATGATGGGATGTAACGTAGGATTTTAATCTACATACTGCCCCACGTAATGAGTGTAACTATAATTCAGCTAATCCTGGACATAAAGGTGAGCTCTAAATGATTCCAACTCACCCTCTCACCATTCAGGAATGGACCAAAACAGGCGGATAGGTGCTGAGGTCAACACAGGCCAAGAGTGAATGGTGAACGTGACTCCAGCCTGAGCCTTCAGCTGGGGAGAACAAGCCTGGATTCAAGTTAGGAATAAGTGAGCAAGTTCATTAGTGACAGTGAGACAGAGAGTGACCTTCGCTTAGGGGACAGACGCTTGAATGAACTATTTCCTCTCTCTGGGTGAAGTGTCAGTCCCAGGAATATGTCTGTCCGTGCTGCATCGGGGAGAAGATAACAGATCAGTCCCACTGGATTTACGCGGTATCTCGTGTAGATTAGGCAGGTATTGATTACCCCACAGCG